TAGTTATACTATTTGCATCCTGCACCAGAGTAAATATGTTTTAGCAAGCCATAAACTGTCATACACTCCATGGCTATTTACTGTAACTACAAACTGTCTTACTGTATAAATTGTGTAGCTTTATTGCTGAAATATAAAATGTAATATTAATATAATATTCTTGTCTAATTGTATGTGCTTGTGTAGATGATAAATTATGTTAATAGGATCCTCGGGCTATTTTTAATAAAGATATTCAAACTTGGCCCGGACTAAACTCTCAATAATATTAATCTTATTACTTTATTCAGAGAATTAGTTTACAATTCTGCTGCTCAGTTAAGCCTACTAAATTAGTCATTGATAAACTGAAAGCCTTCTATTACACAGTATAAATATAATAGAAGAATAGCCATTTTGAAAGAAAGCCACAAAACTGCAGGATTCTTCCAAGTTAACAATAGTGTATTGTACATCGTGAAACATTAAGCATAAATGCAGTATCACACATTAAAGAATCAAAAATTGTAACCAGTGTTCTGGTAAATGTAAACATATTTTTAATGTTGGAGGAAACTAAATATAAATTTCAGCTCAAAGTCCAAAAAACAATTCCACAATTAACTGAATATAAGGATATGATCTGCTAGATCCACCTACTTCTCTCACATCATTGAAAATAACAATAACAACCTCAGACTTCTTTTCTCCACCATCAACAGACTTGTAAAGCCAAACCGCCCCACCATCTTACCTGCCTCATAGCAACGTTGCCACACTTTAGATTTCTTTAGCTCCAAGATTGACAACACCTGCATCACATTCTCTCCACAGCGCATGTCACTTCCACATTTCTTCCCTGCTTACATAACTGGTTCCCTTCTTTCTAACTTCTCTCTTCTTGACTCTGCATCCATCAATAAACTGTTTTAACATATGAAATCCACCACCTGTATATTAGACTGTATTCCTACCCCTTTATTTCAGTCCTGTTTCACTTCTCTCTGCCCTATTGTCCTCAATATAATAAATTAATCCTCATTTTTCTTGATTTCATTGTTGCTTTTGACACTGTTAACCATGGCTCGATACTGGGCCCCCTGCTTTTCAGCATTTACATGTTTCCACTTTGTCAGCTTTTAAAATCACATGGACTCAACTATCATTTGTACACTGTATGGATGATAGGGCTTCGGTTCTGTTATACCCCAAAGTTCTGGAGCTCTCTCCCCAAGGATATCAGAGAGTCACCTTCTATAAACTTCAAATCTAGACTCAAACCTTCTTTAGAAGAGCCTTTATTTAATTGGTTTTGTTCTTTACCCTTCTGCTTCTACTGTATTCAGTACTCCTATCTACTGTATCCTCCCATTGTGTATTCTAATTGTGCGTATGTTGTATTTTTTTCTTTTCCATTGTTTGTTATCGTTCTGTAAGGTGCTTTTCAAAAACTTTAAAGATGCTGTATAAAATAAATGTTATTATTATTTTAACTGAATCTGACTCAGCAGAAAATGTAGTGCAAAAGTGATTGTGATTTCAGAGAAATCTACCTTCAAGGTTCCTTCAGTGTGACTGAGATTATAGTCTGAGAAGTGCATTCAATGGTTTTGATGGAATTCACACATTTTTCAGTTTATAAAACAAACCAAGTAATTCTGACAAATGTTGACACGTACCAATGCTGAGTCTTACATACTGTACCTGCGTCTAAACTATGTTCGGAAAAAGAATAACTGTGTGGATACTGTTGACTTGCAGCTGCTATCTCAGTTTATTGATTCATCACCATAACCATTAGGAAAATAAAAATAATTTGGTAACTTAATTTTCTAATTTTATGTTACTTATGTTACTTTGTAATTGCTAATATTATGAATGTTCACATACTCGAGGAAGAGAGGATGTTTCAGAAGCAAGACTTTAAGCAGTCAATTCTTTCACTTTGCGACAAATGGAAGGGATTAGATTGTAAATTAACAGAAAACTAAGAACTCTGTAGAATCTATCAAGGAATTTCAAAGGATGGGAAACTCTCCTTTGTGTGAACAATTTAAATATGTCAGTTTGTCTGAAAGCTCAGAATTCCTTTTCTTGTATTTGTCTAACGTGAATTGCCTTGGCATTGTTTCTGATTTGATTAATTAAATGATTTGTTGTATTCCCAGCCTACCATCAATGTACCTTACAATGGTTGATTGTAATTTTGTGAAATTCTTTTTATTTAAGTCACATCAAAGTTAAACGGATTTTGTTCAGCTTTGAACACATTACAAAGACATTAATGTCACTTTCTATTGTGCTTTATTGCTTTTATGCAGCCAATGAACATGTAAAAAAGTCTTCAATAATTATAGTAGGAGTGCAATAACCTACATTATGAAACGTTGAAATACAAGTCTTAATTCAGTCAGACTGATTAAATGGACATCTTTATTAAGTATCAATTTTTTGTCTCTCATCTAATGAATACAGTACTAAATGTTAGATATTTTCTTTATATGACTCCTTCAAACTTCTTTAAAAGATTACATGCTGACAATCAAAAGAAATGTATCATTCTATACATGTGTTTTTTTAAATACAGATATTGAATATTGATTATATATATAGCATAACTTAATTGATTAATTGATCATTTATTGCTATGATATACTTGAGTATTGCATAAGTTGACTATTAGTGCATAAGCACCTTTTCACCTTCACCTCTTTAATGTTTTGATTGGGCACAGGTGATTAGGTGATTAGGTGCAAAGGTGATTTAACCTGTTGAATAGCAAGCCTGGTGAAAATCAAGAAAAAAGAGAAAAGACAAAACATATTATCAGTGGCCTATCTCTGAAGAGACACCTTCAAGACATTGGTAATGTACAGTATATTGGAGGCTGGAGCACATCTGTTTACTCTCGCTTGCAGACTTGAGTATTCGCTGCCAGCAATTTCTAACCTAGCAAGATCATAGGGCATGATCTGGGAGACCACAAGTCTTGTGATGGTATGGGCAGGAGTGCCTAGTCTCTACAGAGCTTCTCTTGTAGAGGAGTGATTGATGGCAACTTGACTGCACAAATGATCAATTCCTATGACCTTACTTCCTGCCTTTCTTGCAAGCTTGTTCCTGACAACATTCAAACGTGACACATTTTCTATTGCCGCTCAAGCAGCAGCTTTTTTTCCAGGATGAGAATGTGATAGTTAACCTGGTGATGCCCTAGTTTCTCAACCTGAACCATACTGAGCATTGGTGGACTGAGATGATTTTACATGTGGTATCTAGGGTTCAGAGAACAGGCATTTCCCATATCTATGAGAGGAATCAGACACAGCCCCACAATACATCATTTGCAATCTGGTCCAAGGCACATGTTACATATATGCAGCTTGCATCGCTCCTACCTGTTGCCACACACTGTGATTTACACAATAGACCCATCTTCATATCAAGTATTGATCAGCATAGTTAATTTATGTACAGTGTATGTCAGATTTATTCAAAAACTGTCTTTGCACCTACTGAAATTTTGTTGTCCTTTTTCTGATAACATTGTGAATTTGTTGCAGTTATAGGTGATATTTATTTTAATGATTAGTTTATTTCTAAAATTAGGCATATTGAAATGTACAATGAAATGCTAAGACATCCCTTAAAAACACTATGCACATATTTTATCAGTTACACAGAAGATATTGCTGTTTGGAATAATTTCAGAGAAAACAACAAAGTTAATACCAGGGAGCTGAATGTCTAAGTGCTGAACTGTGTTGAATCTTGAAAAGGTATTAACCAAGCCAATTCAGGAGCAACATCTGGGCCAATATTAAACCGGAGATGTGAAGACTAGAGGAGGGTATGCGTTTCAGACTCGAGGTGCAAAGCACTGGACTGCCGTGGCATATTGTTGAAACAGGATTCCTTCTATCCTTTAACAAATGGTAGAAAGAAATCCTCTGATTATCCTCAAATCCTTAGTTGGCTATAAGTAACCATGTAAGCAAGATGGGCAAAATGGCCTCTTCTCGGTTTTCTTTTGTTCTTTACTTTAAAGCTTATTGTCTGTGTGATCATAGGAATTCTATGTTCTTGCTTCTCTTTAGAGGTTATTTTCCAGACAAACTTACTGTCAGGCACAAATATATTTCTGGCATACTGTTCTGAGAATTTCTCTCTGATTTTCACTGGACCGATAGTTAAAGTGACAAAACAAGTCCAAAGAGAAGTATCATCAGAGCACTATAGTATAATAGTAGAAATGCTCATCCTCTTTCATGTTGTGCTGGGAGGTGTGCAGAGCTCAGTACTGTGCAGTTTTAACTGCTTGAAAATGTTAAAACAAAGTATCAAAACTGTCACCACACAAATGAAGAGGCTATGAGAACTGCACAAAATGGTGTCCTTTAATAGTTGTTATTAAACATTATAGTAGAAGGTGTTTCTTTAAGGTGCTTTTTCAGTTCTCCAGCAGGCAATGCAATCTGCAGATGGTGTAATGAAAATTATGAATTACAAGGGGTATGTTGGAAAGCTTGAGCATTGTCAATTCAAGGTAGTGATATGTGATATGTAAAGTATATATTTTTATTTTTTAATTGACTTACTAAAATATACTTGCAGAAAATGAGAGAGCCTGTGATGTACAATGCACTATTATTATTATACATGGACCATGGAAGTTACTGTAATCACATTAATCACTGTGATGTGTATTTCTGATGTGTAGTGTAGTGAAAGAATTGTTCTAAGAGAATTGCTAAATATTTCTTATAAAGTCAATTTAAATTTTAAAGGTCTGAAAAAACACAGCCTTTCATCAAATCTAGTCTCCTCTGCCTTGAAATTATTTAATAAAATCTAGCAGATTTGCTAGTACTGCTCGCAGACTGCGAGTTTTAAAACAAACCTATCAGTTTTATCTGTGATGAACACTTCCTGTATATGGTAAAAAGAAAAACATGGTCTTGTTGCATTATGTTTCCTTCTATGTACTGTATATTAAATCTTCTCAAAAACTTGTTTTTCAGCATGTGCATGTCCACATTCTTCCAAGAAAGGCTGGTGACTTTGAGAAAAATGACAATGTCTATGATGAGGTAGGCCCCCTGTGTTTTTCTAGATACTGTTTCTTGCTGATGTACAGTATGAGCAAAAATGTTCACCTTATAACTATCTTTTAAGTCAGTATGCAAAGAGAAATTAAATATCTGAACTTAATGCTAAATATTTAAAAATATGTTTTAATACATTCTAGTTGTAATGTATACAACTAGGTATAACAAGTTTCATATTAGAATATTTGTTTTGAACGTGTTCCATGCTTTTATTTTGTTTTTTTAAGAGTTTTCTTAAAGGCATCATTGTAATTTTATTTTTCTGTCTTCTTAATGTGCACTGGCTGTTTGATTTATTGTACAGCTGTCCTCCACGTATTTATAATTTGTATGAAAAGTTTTTAAGCAACTTGCCTACAGTCAATTCAACAGTTACTTTCTACTTTCAGAAACTAAACAACAAAAGTGTTTAGAATGTAATTTTATTAATGATGTCTAAAGGATGGAAGTTAAGCAATATTCCCCCGCAGGAGATGAGGGAGAAACAGAACACTCTGTCATCAGTGTTGCACTGGCAAAATATAAATAGTTTTTTTTTTAATTTGCATTTGAAACCATTTGGGATACTCTGAAACAGGCTCTGCCATTTATATATTTCTGTCACTTTTCAAAACATTAATATATTTCTGGGTATTATTCTGCTTTCAAATAAATAATTATTGAGTGTTATTATCAGTCATGTCATTTTGGTTCCACTAGTGATTGTATAATAATATACAATATGTGTTTTTTTCTTTATATTAAAGACCAAGACACATTTTTCAATGGAATGCTAAACCTTAAGCCTTACAGGTATTTAGAGATTTGGTTTATTTAGAATAGTTTGTAAATAAACATGTAATAGACTAAATAGCCTTCAACATTTCACCCTATTAAAGCCTTCAGAATTCAGATAGCCTTGTTAAATAGATTGTTAATGAACAAAGAAATTATTGATCGCCTGTGGACCCATACTATAAAATAAACAAAGCTAATTACCTAACTGTTTGGTTAATGACTATTTTAATCATTACCCGTGCCCTTCTTGGCAATGAGAGTCATTAGGCTGCTGTGGCAGCCAACAAAATATCAAAGGCAAATGTTTTGTGTTGTGTTGGGAATAGGGCTCTGGAGTACAGTTTTATTTGTCAGGTTATGTAGATACTGTATAAAGCCACATTACTGTACACTGAGGCAACTTGGTCATAAAAATCCTGTCCCACTTCTCAGTATGTTACGTGAGATGCAGCGTTCGATATTCTTTTATTTTTTCTTGTATGTAGAACAACAAACTTTTTAATTGAGGTTGACCAGTGTTATCTGAAGAAGTGTCAGTAAATAATTTCAGTGTTTTACTTCTGGTGGTGCAGCAAAAGTGAAAATCTCTTATCTAGCAGTGATTTTAATTTAAAATGTGCTGTTAATAATGATAATAATAATTAATAATTATTAACAAGCCCACCTTATAGGATTGCAATAGGTTGATTAGCTCATGTAATATAAGGATCTCCTTTTTAGACTGCTCTGTACACCCATTACAAACCACTAGGAAAGAGGTATCTTGGTGACTCAGAATGAAACTGTAAATTAGAAGTGGTTTGAGGGCTTCTGAGGTGGTAACCTGTATTATAAAACTATTGCAGAACATTCTCTACTGTGGATACTGTTTGAATCTCCTGTTGTATGAAGAACTGACACCCTGTTGTTTTCTGTTCTGATAAATGCATTTAAATACGGCAATGGATAAAGATTATTATTTCACTGACCTTTTTACGAGCAGCTGGACTATTGCTTTCTCTTAGGTGTTGTCCACATTCCTCCTGCTTGTTTTCATCTTCAACATTGCTATAATAGCCCTGGATTTAAAAGCCGTTCTTTCCTATATTTAGAATAATTAAACAACATCAAACAAAGGTCTAATATTTAATCTTAAACTAATTTTATGCTTAGGTTTTAAAATTGGTCCTATAACTCAAGGAATGCTGAAATACAAGCAGCTAATGTTATATATCAGTGGCTCAGAATTACCAGCTTCTGTTATTGAACTATCACAGGATTAAAACTATAAACAGGTTTTGTTGGTAACTCGTAATATTATAGCTATAATATTAATAGCTCTCCCAAGTGGGCATTATGAGTCAATTGTTGCCTTTGACCTCACCTTATAACACTTTAACTATCACTTTGGTTGTTACCTATAGTGCCTACTGAGCTGTGAAATGATGCTCAAAGATATAAATGTAATTACTGTGAAAAACTGAATGCTGAATGCTTTTGTTTAAGATTTGAGTTACCAAATTGTGTTCCTTTGCTAATATGAGACTTAAAGTGTATTATCAATATCTGTCTTTTTGAGTACCTTGTCCTTTATGTATTAACCCTTCTGCATGAACCCTGCATTCCCTATCATCTGCTTCATTCCAGGAGCTCTTGGCAGTCAGTGCATTTTCACAAATGCCTGATACCAGCAATTGAAGACTTAATCTTCGATGAGACATTTATTTTAATATATCAAACAACACTTACATGAACATATATTTACAGTACATGTGCTGTGTCTGTATTCATTCTGTTGCTTTTTCAAACAACTCTGACAAGTTTGTTAAACAAGACTGTTTTGCCTGTAAAGTATCTCCTAGATTCCTCTGACTACTGTATGCAGATGATCTGCTTTAGTTCTAATTATATCAATTCTATAATTCTGTGTGTAACAGAACTAAGAAATATCATTGTGTCATTGCTTGGTTTAGATTTATTAACCCTTGTAACAGAGAGATGCTCCTGTACATTAGAAATGTTCAAATCAATGGAAAACCCTCTTTTGTGACTGTTATTAATGACTTTTCATTTTTCCATGCACAATTTGTAGGATAACATCAGGATCTAGAGGTTTATTTCTTGTTTTTTACAAGTTTTATCTTCTGCACTATACTATTTACTGTAACGCTATAGATCTTATCTCCACCACATGTCAAGAACCAGAGACCAGTATCTAGACAGAACCTTTCTCCTCCCTGTACTTTACATGTAAGTCAGGGTCTCTACTACACCCCTGCTCCTTGGCTCTCACACATTGCTGGAGGCTAGCCGATAGTTAGACCCTCTTATCACTCTGTACTTCCTGCTTAGAGTGAGGGTCTTCCAGTCCTGAATCTCTGGACTTCACTCATATTCACTAGCTCTATTACACACACATATTACTTTAACTCACATAAACATTTAACTTGCATATAGACTTTTTACTCACAGCTTCAACAACCCGTTCCTTCAGCACGCCTCTAGAAAAGGCTGATTACAGAACATTAAAGCCTCATGGTCCGGGTCCCTTGTTCTTACTCCCCTTCTGGAGGAAAAGCTTCAGCTGCTTTGCTTGCTTGCTTCCCATATCACACACAACCAACCACCTTCTGCAGAACAAGTGACTGCTGCAGATGCAGCCATTCAAAGTGCGCGGTACAGACACGTACTGGAGGTAATTGGCTACGGAGTCGCGCATTGTGATGCGCGTTGACGCAAAATACCGCGTCACGTTAGTTAAAGACTTCGATGCTTAAAATGTTTAGGGAGAAATGGAATACTGGTGTGTATGTTTTCTTTAAAGTACCGAGACCAGCCATAT